TCCTGGAAGGGAGCAGTCCCAAACCTGGGGATCAACTGCTTCCCATGTATGGGGTGGAATATTAGAGGGTATCTGGGAAACAACAGAGTTTGGAGAGAAAGCGGCAAACAAGCTGTCCTCCTCACGTGTTAGAATAAATTGGCTTCCTAATTTTTTCATTAAGTCTTCATTAAGTACGAATAATGGAGTAGGACAAGTCGGTAGGACTAGGAAAGTATGGGAAAATTCCGAGTCCAATATTGGCAAGATAAAGGAAGAGTTTTATAACAAAACTTAGAGTCTCCTTCTGTTCCGACAATTTTTTAATGGGACTTATGACTTAGGCCAGAGTGGCAAACAAGTACAGAGTATATGGCTCCTGTGTCAATAAGAAAATTGATTTGCTTACCTTCCACATCCAGAGTAACCCGGGGCTCAGTCTGTTCGATGAGGATGGGAGCCAGACTGGCCTCAGCCCTTCAGGCAGAATCTTCAGGATCATATCTCCAGGCAGGGAAGTGTGTTCTTGGCCCCTCCTCACCATGGAGGCGAGGACAGTCATGCTTCCAATGTCCCTCTCAGTTGCAGAGAGGACAAGGCCCAGGAGGAAGATCCTTTCTTGGGCACTGTTTGCTCCAGTGTCCAAGTTGATGGCAACGGTAACAAGGGGACTTACCTGGGCCTCCGGGATTGGTAGTTTGAGACTTGGGCCCCTGGTTAACCTGTTTCTGTGGCATAGCTGCAATGGCGGCTGCTAAAATGTGAGCCTATACCTTACTCTGTAATTTTGCCCTTCTGTCCTTATCCTGTTTAAGAATCAAGTCCTGATCATTGAACTCTTGAGTAGCAACCTCCACAAGTCTCTGTACAGGTGTTTGAGGACTCAAGGCTAATTTAGCCAATTTTCAGCGTATGTCTGGGGCAGATTGACTAATGAAGTGCATGTTTAGAATAGTCATCCCTTCCAGAGAAGTAGGGTCTAGATTAGTGTATTTTCAGATAGCTTCAGCTAATCTCCCTTGAAAAAGGGCAGGGTTTTCATGTTCCCTGAGTTATTTCCTCTGGAGTTTGTCAAAATTGACTGGCTATGTATAGACACACATACACAGAGTCTCCACAGCTATTATTTTAAAAATTTCTGCCATGAATCAGGTACAGTAATACAAAGCTCACCAGTTATGAATCCGAATTTTGTTTTGAGCCTTCTTACTAATATTTGTGGGGGAGACATTCAAAATGCTAGAGTTTTTGGCAAGGGCACGCTTATGGCTGTTTTTTCCTTTTTGCTTCTTTTTTTCCTTCAGTCTTAGGAATTAGTAATGGGCTAGATAGTCCCCAGAGGATTTGCAGGCTCTTTGAGATAAGGGAAATGGATGGAACCTGAACCGCCTCTAGAGCTGCTTTTCCAGCCTTACAAGGATTTCCTAAGGACAGTTCCTCTTGACTTCCTAGAAACTGGGTTGTAACTCAAATGACATTATAGGTTGATCTACCTGTCCAAGTACATCATAAAGGCACAGAGAAATCACTCAAATTTTCTCCAAGATGGAGTTTCTGGGGCATAACCCATCCAATAGAAAATGTTTCCAATTAGGTTAGAATGCACCCCAGAGGTGAGTCTCCAGGGATGCTTGGGGCATTCCCCATGGCAGTAAAGCCAGTGCCCGACTGACAGTGGCCTGGAGAAGGGTGCAGAGCCTGACTGCCGGCATCAATATAGTTATAAGATTTAGTCAAGTCCTGCTCAGCCCAGGCACTTAGTCCCTGGGCCAGCACAGGTGAGCCAGGGAAATAGGAGGCAAAGGCCTGGAGCAGGCTGGGTCCTGGGGCTCCTAGCACTGGGGTTGAGAGTTAAGTCCCTGGCAAAAGGGTTTCAAGTTTTCAATTTTGCAGAAGGTCCAGGTTCTGCTCAGGTCCAGCCTGAACTTAACCTCGACTTGGTGACACCAGAGGAAGTGACGAATGAGACAAAGAAAGGAAAAGAAGAGATCAGGCCTCGCCCTCATGGCCTCTTCTGGAGGGTTGTCAAGATAAGGGTCACACGACAGTTCCTGTGCCAGGGCGCACAACCCCAGCAGGACAGTTCACAGAATAAATCCTAGGTCTCCTATCCTCGTAACTGACTCAGTAGGCGCATAAAATACTCAATGAGTCAACTGCCAAGAGAGGGCACCCCACTTTGGGTTGTCAGGGTGATCAGGCCCAGAAACCAGAGCGGGGGCTCCCAGGGGTGGAGGCTCTGACTCTTTAAAGATTTCTTTGTTTCTTGGTTGCAGAGCTCAAAGGAGACCAAGATGGCCACTGTGACTTCAAGAGAGATGAAAGAAAAGGGCCCGTTACCTTGAAAATCCCCGAACCTGGGGCCGCATCCTACCTGTTGTTCTTCCTGTGGGGTTCCTATAGTAAGGGGTGATGGGGGTGTCCGCCTGCATTGCATCCCTTGGATACCTTCCCTTTTATGGCTGGCAGTAGTAGGTGCCTGGTGAATGGTCCCAGAGATAAAAGAATAGAGAAAAACAGTGAAGAATTTTCTGCCGGTCTGGGGGACATTTTACCCAATTGCATCCTGGAGCCATTCTCCCCAGAAGGGGTTCCCATAGTCAACCAAAGGTTAGAGTTTGGTACTTTCCTTGAACTGGAGTCCCAACTGGGACTTTTCTGCAGTTTGGAGTGTGGTCAGGAACCATAGGGAAGGATCCCAATCCAGCCTTAGGAAAAGAAATCTGCCATGGGAGTCTTGGAGATTGGCGACCGTCCTAATGACTTAAGTGGTTGACCTGTGCCAATGTAAAATTTACATATCAGACATAGGACTAGGAAGGAATGGATTAATTCATTCTTCATCACCCTCAGGCTTAAGGTACTGATTCTCTTCAGGCTGAATGCCATGATTTGGCCCATAGAGTAGCCATGGGCAGCAAACTTGGATTCAGACAGCTGTCTGAGAAAGTTCCCAAAGAAGTGAATTTAGATCCATCCTTGAAAAAGAGATAGGCACAAGGTAGAAAAGTGCACTTACCAAAACTTAAGCTCATAAGCCGGTGAAGCAAGATCTCCGTACGGGCTACCGGAAGAAGTGATGCGGGCTCGGTGAACCGAGGAGTCAAAAGAGAGATTTCTTGGACTCTCAAGGTCTGGTAGTAGTGCTCCTTTTATTCAGAGAATAGCATGGCGACAGGACCCGTGGGCAGTGAAGAGCTGCAGCATCGGGACAGGACCCGTGGGCAGTGAAGAGCTGCAGTGTGTTGAGGGTTAGGGCTAAATTTATAAGGCATGGGTATGTGACTTATTTTTACCAGACAAAGGAAAGATGATGTAAAAAGTCATTAAAATGGTATCAGTGTAGGGGCTGGCCCCGTGGCCGAGTGGTTAAGTTCACGCGCTCTGCTGCAGGCGGCCCAGTGTTTCGTCAGTTCGAATCCTGGGCGCGGACATGGCACTGCTCGTCAGACCACACTGAGGCAGCGTCCCACATGCCACAACTAGAAGGACCCGCAATGAAGAATATACAACTATGTACCGGGGGGCTTTGGGGAGAAAAAGGGAAAAAATAAAATCTTAAAAAAAAAAAAATGGTATCAGTGTAGGTGGAGTCTGGTTATTGTGTGGGCGTATAACTTTAGATATAAATCAGTTCATATAGATCAACATGTAGGCCAGGACGCCCTGGGCTTCTCTCCCTGGGGCAGCCTTGATCCGCATCAATAATGTATTAGTTTATTTCTCCTTGTAGTTCTGTCAATTTTTTGCTTTATATATTTTCAGGCTTTATTATTAGGTACAAATTTAAAATTGTTGTATCTTCCTAGGATTAAAACTGAATTTTTCTCCCATTGTGGATTGACTCTTTGTTGTCAATAAAACTTTTCGTTAAAGTATATTTTGTCTGATATCAATATAGTCTCATATTATAATTTTCCTTTTGTAAATTGAGATATAACTGACATACAACATTATATTAGTTTAGGTGAACAACATAATCATTTGATATATGTGTATATTGTGAAATGATCACCACAATAAGTCTAGTTAACATTCGTCATCATACATAGTTACAAAATTTTTTTCTTCTTACTTGACCTCATTCTAAGAGCTACAATCTAACTGTTCTTGAAATGCTTTGTAGTCTGTGAAAGTCTGGAGCATGTAGTAGAAACAGCTTTGAGGGGAAATAGTTAATGAATGCAAAGTAGACTTTTACAGAAATTTTTTTCAACTTTTGCCTGTCTAAGGGTATGTTAAATTTTGTTTATTGTTTAATTGACTTCTAAAAACAAAGTCCGTTGATATATTTTAAAAGTCCTTTAACTCAGAATTCCTTCTATAATACACCTAGCTCTCTGCAGGCTAGGGTGTTAAGTCTTAAAAAGGGTTTTACCTCAACTTCATTATCTGTTCTCTATTCTTCATGTATTTACAGATTTATTTAAAGCGATTACAACTCTTGATAAGATCAGAAATGATAGGATGCATGTAAATAAGCTGAACTCTGAACTCTTAAGTACTGGAATTCCATTAAGCAACAAGACATTCCAGGAGATTCTGAATGAAACATCTATCGATAGTGAATCTTTTTTGAAAGAATAAACTATGTTGAGTTTAATGAAGTCCTAGTTTTACTGTGTGCTTGGGATATCTATTGTATATACATATATTTTGGATAAACTAGTTCTTAGAAATATAATGAGATCATAGGCGTATTGAGAACTAATTAAAATTCGTATTTTTTTCTTATGGAAATATTTTTAAGAGGTGCTCTCTGTTTATCTGGCATCAAATCTATAAAATATATACATCAAATTTAATTATTAAAGCCAAATAAATTAATGTAATTCAAATTTTTTTTTTCTTGTTTTGAGGGAACAGTTTCTGGGTAAAACTCTTTTAAATTAACTGGTTTTTATCCAGCTAATTTTAAGAAATTACAAATTTTGCCCATCCCCCACTCCCTATTGTGGTTATTTAATGATTATTAGCATTAACACTTTGCCATTTCATAATCGTTGTACTTTACTTTTTAGAAACTAGTGAAGTAAGTCTCAAACAAATTTTGGAGACTTTGAACACAAGTAAGCCAGCTCCTGAATTTGAAGGTGGGTCAATCAATATTTCATTTTAGGTATTTGTCATAGTTTACACTGTCTTTTGTCATCATCATTATTTTTAAACAGTGTTATGAAGTATAAATGATATACAAAAAGTTGTATATTTTTATAGCTAAAGTGCACAATTTGGTAAGTTTTGACATGCACAAACACCTATGAGACTATTATCACATCAAGATTACGAACACATCCCTCACTCCAAAGCCTCCTCATTCCCCTTTGTAATCTCTCCTGCCTTTCCCCATTCTCCTTCTCCTCATCCCCAGGCAACCACTGATATACTGTCCATCAGTATAGATTTGTTTGCGTTATCCAGAATTTTATATAAATACATGTGCTCTTTTTTTGCTGGATTCTTTCACTCAGCATAATTATTTTAAGATTCATTCATGTTGTAGCATATATCAGTAGTTTATTTTTGTTTATTACTGAATACTACTCCATTGTATAGATTTACCCCAGTTTATTTACTTACCTGGTCATATGCATTAAGTTGTTTCCAATTTGGGGCTATTAGAAAGCTGCTATGAACATTTCTGTAAACGTCGATGTATGGACATATACTTTCATTTCTCTTGGGTAATTACCAAGCATTGGCTGGCTCATATGGTAGATGTGTGTTTAATTTTTTAAGAAACTGCCAAACTGTTTTTCAAAGTGGTTATGCCATTTTACATTTCCTCCAGCAGTGTATGAGAGTTCTAGCTCCTCCAAATTCTTGCTACTACTGGGCATTGTCAGTCTTTTTAGTTTTAATCATTCTAATAAGTGTATAGTGGTATCTCGTTGGGGTTTAGTTTCTATTTCTTTAGTGATTAATGATGTTGAGCATCTTCTCATTGTGCTTATATGCCATCTGTATATCTTCCTTGGCAAAATGTTCAGATCTTTTGCCCATTTTTTAAGTTGAGTTGTTTTTTTATTTCTGTATATATTCTGGATACAAGTTATTTATTAGATATATACTTAGCAAGTATTTTCTCTGCATCTTTTGCATGTCTCTTCATTTTCTTAGCAGTGTCTTTAGAAGAGCATTAACTTTAATTTTGACAAAGTCCAGTTAATAGTTTTTTTCTTTTATGGGTTGTGCTTTTGGCATCATTGGTATGAAATCTGCCTCATCTGAGGTTCCAAAGGTTTTATTGTATGTTTTCTTCTAAAAGTTTTATGGTTTTTGTTTTTACATTTTAGGCATATGATCCCTTTTGAGTTAATCTCTGTATATGGAGTAAAGTGTGGATTAAAGTTCCTTTTTTTTTGCACATGGATATCTATTTGGTCCAGCACCATTGTTGAAAAGACTACTTTCTCCGCTGAATTGCCTTTGTACTTTTGTAGAAAATCTTGTGTATATATATATATGTGTGTGTGTGTGTGTGTGTTGGTATATATATATATATATATGTATCTTCCTGGATTCTTTAGTCTGTTCCAATGATCTTTTGTCTATCTTTATATTAATACCACATTGTCTGATTACTATAGCTTTATAATAAACGTTGGAATCAATTAGGTAGTATTAGTTCTCCAACTTTCTTCTACTTTAAAAAGTTTTGACTATTCTAGATCTTTTACATTGCCATAGAATTTTAGAATCAGTTTGTAAATTTCTAAAAAAAAGCCTGCTGGGATTTATCGGAGAAATTGAAGGGCTCGTGAACTAATATTTGTTGGAAAATGTCTTATCTAATAAGTTAATTCTGCAACTCTTTTGTGTATCTGTACTTTGCCTCCTTTTTTTTTTTTTTTTTTTGAGGAAGATTAGCCCTGAACTAACATCTGCCACCAATCCTCCTCTTTTTGCTGAGGAAGACTGGCCCTGAGCTAACATTTGTGCCTTTCCTCCTCTACTTTGTATGTAGGACGCCTGCTACAGCATGGCTTGACAAGCAGTGTGTAGGTCCGCACCTGGCATCTGAACCAGTGAACCCTGGGCTGCTGAAGCAGAACATACAAACTTAACCACTGCCCCACCAGGCTCGCCCCACTTTGCCTCCTTTTAAAAAAATATCCCTACCTTCTCGTAGATAAACTAGAGATTATGACCCAAAGAGTGACCTTGAGTATATGATGATTTCTATAACTCATTGATAAAGCAGTTAGAGGCATGGCTCTAATCCTAAGGACCTCATTTAGGGGAGAAAACTCCTAGAAGTTTAGATAAGACCTGGGAGGAATGCAGAGTGCTTCAGTTTGAAAGAACCTCTAGCATTTTTATTTTCTTCATAGAAAAACCCTTACATCTATTCTCTGTAACCTTGAAGCTCTTCAGTTTACATTTCATCTACAGATTTTGTGGCATTTGACCTTTGTAAATAGGTATCTTTTAGGTTAAAAAATAAAGGCCATTTCTACTTTTAGGCACAGTATATTCCTGGAAACCTTAATACTCCCACACTTGGGGGGAAACTTTTAATAATAAGAGAGTAAAAATTTATGAGAAATAAGCAAAAAATGAACAGAGCAGAAAAATATGTAAGTAGAAAAAAATTCAGGACTAATATTTTTGTACTCTGAAATTTGGGCAGTTTCATGTAAACAGAGATAAGCCTTGAAATCTCTCTCACTGATAAAAAATTAAAGATTTCCCTGAGGAGATGCAATAATGGCTGTATTTTAATTTTTAAAAATTGATTGTTTAGTTAAATAAAAAAACTCAGTCAACTTAATTTTTTTATATTGAAACAAAACTGATCATCTCAAGGAAATGCTTGGAATAAAGGAATTTTTGACTTATTTATTAATTTTGGAATCATAGAGGTAATGTTAATTGAGATATACATTTGAACAATAGTCTAGAATTTTGGGTACATTATTCTTCAGAAGTTTAGAAAATACAAAATTATTTCCAAAGGATATTAAGTGACTTACAGAATCCCTGTTTGCTTTCAGATGCACGTGCTGCCCTCAATACTGTCCACGTGACGAGCTGCAGCAGAATTCAGGTGAATGACTTGAAAGATGCTTTTGATGACCTCAGTGTTTGTTTAAAGCCTGAAGAACACCAGATGTTGGAAAAAACACTTGATGTTGATGGTATATATAATAACTATAAGTTGGTTTTCTGAATAAAGTGACAATAATTTTTTTATTCCCCTTCCCTATCCTCCATTCATCACTCCCCAACAATTTTCTCTTTGTTATCCAATGGAAAAAATAACAAAGCAAGTCTACTGAGATCATAAATTTATCTTGATAGAAAAATCTTTGAATAAGATTATTAAGATTTTTTCAGCCTTTCTAGCCCCACGTAGTATCCTGTGTTGATTCTATCTGGGTATATTTGTTTGTTTGTATGTTTTTAGCATCTACTGTGTAAATTAGGGAAGGTGGTGGAATTCTCTGAGAAGGTCGTGCTAAAGTGAAACTGCTTTTAGCCAGGAAGAGACTAAGGAGGACCTTCATCCCTCTGCATGAGATATTTATGGCACAAGGTTGATTGAATGTGAATCCTAAGAGCTTTCAGAGAAAACAGCATATAAATTTCAAATTTTGCTAATTATTATATGTTTTTAAAATTAATTTAAAATCAGTTCCTCAAAGTATTTCTTTTTTACATTATTGAATGGGTTTTGGTGTTGCTTCACCAATCATATTGACTGGGGCCACTGCACAGCACAACTTCTGGGGCACATTGTCATCTTTGTAAACAGCATCCCTTGGTGTTGTGCAGTGCGTGGCCTGCTTGGCTCTATGTGGCAGACCTGATCTCGAGTGCCTATTATATGTAAGATATTATGTAATATGTGATCAAATAAATATGAAATATTCATATTCAGGAAACTTTTGGTCTAGTTGGTGAGGCAAGATATAAACAACAAAAGTGTATATAACAGTATAGGAGATAAATGTTCAGTGAATGTGCACTGTTACTTGGCAGTTTTTGAGTAATTGCCAAGGAAACAGTGATGAGATATTGTGATTTATGAGGCTGATGTGCTGCTGACTGTATCAAGAGGACAGCTTGATATTGTGATTTATAATAAGAAATATGTATTTGATCTTCATCCCCCTTCCTGGCACAGAGCACCTAAAACCTTTGTAAATTCCTAGGAGCATCTTGGCAATGTTCTAATGAGGCAACCCTAGGTGGGCTCCTGGCTGTCTCTTGGTTGGGGGCTGGTCACTAGAAAGACTAACCCATGATTAGAAGCTTGACATTTTCAACCCCACCCCCAGTTCTCCCAAGAGGGGAGAGGGGCTGGAAATGGAGTAAATAACTGATCATACCTATCTGAGGAAGTCTTGCTTGGGACCCTGCCAGACCTTGCCCTATGTATCTCTTCATCTGACTGTTCATCTGTATCCTTTATCCTGTCCTTTAATAAACTGGTAAACATAAGTAAGTGTTTCCTAGAGTTCTGTGAGCTGTTCTAGCAAATAATTGAATCCAAGGGGGAGAGGTCATGCGGACCCCCAGTTTGTAGCTAAGTTGGACAGAAGTTGTGGGTAACCTGGGGACGTGCTACTTGCAATTGGCATTTGAAATGGGGAGGGGGCGGTCTTGTGGGACTGAGCCCTTAACCTGTGGGATCTGATACTATCTCCAGGTAGATAGTGTCGGAATTGAGTTAAAATGGTAGGACACCCAGCTGACGTGGCAGAGAATTGCTTGCTGTGGGAAAACCCCGCAAGCGTCTGGTGTCAGAAGTGTTGTGAGTGTGATAGTGTGAGAGTAAAGGAGAAACACAGGAGGAAAGACTGAATTTAGCCTGTACAACTGATGACACTGAGCTGTTTAATAATTCAGGGGAGAGCTATTTCATTCATTCACTGAAAGTTTGTTGAACACCTATTGCTTGCTAGGCACTAAATATATAAAGATAAAAGAGCTTACAATCTATTGAGCTAACAATGAGAATACCAATTGTTAAATACTGTGACAGAGGTAAACATAGGGTGTTATGGGAACATATACAATAGATACCTAACTAAAACAGGGTTAGATGGGGTAGTCAGAAGAGACTTCCTGGAAGAGATGACAGTGCAGTTGAGTTCTGAAACATGAGTAGGAACTAGCCGAGAATTGTGAGCCCAGGGAAGGGGACTGGAAGGAGTTCGGAGGGAATGCTCAGTATGTGCAAAGTATAGATGAACAAAGTTCATGGAAAAATCAAGAAACTCTTTAAGTACTCCAGTAAGACTTACCCACTGGTGGATCTTAGACTGATTTACATCAGAATTACCTAGGAAATTTGTTAAAAACCCAGATGCTTTGACCTCATTCTGGATCTCTTGCTTCAGAATATCTGCATCAGGACCAAGGTACGTGTGTGTGTATGTGTGTATTTTTCAACAAACTTTGTAGTTCATGTTGATGTGAATCAAAGTTTGACCATTGACTTAGTGGTGCATAGTAGGAGAGAGAGGGAAATGAAGTGGCCATATAGTCAAAAGCAGATCAAGAAGGATTTTGTTTTTGTTTTTGTTTTTTTCTGAGCAACAGAGTTTGAACTTTATCTCAAAGTCTCAAGGGAGTCATTGAAGAATTCAAAGTTGAAAAGTGGCGTGATTGATTTTGCACTTTATGATGGATATTCTGATAGCAGTGACAAGAAAGGACTGAAGGAGGGCAAGATTGGAAGCAAGGAGACATTTTAGAAGGCATGCAGTAGTCCACGTTAAAAATTATGAGTGTTGAACTAAGGTATTGGCTCTAGGGATAGAAAGAAGGGAACAGATATGAGATCTAGGAGGCAGAGCTTCATCATTGTTTGATTAAGTTAAGGAAGGCAAAGGGAGAGGAATTGAGGATGAGTAACAAATTTCTGCATTATTTAATGGTGATGCCTTTTAATAAGATACGGAATACAGGAGGAGGATCAAGTTTTAGTGTACAGATGAGGATTTCTGCTTAAGATACTGTGTTTGTGGTGCCTGTGGACATAGAGTTGGAGATGTGCGGTAGGCGGTGGTCTAGGCTGGATACAGAAACTTGGGAGTTGTCAACCTACAGTTAGTAGTTACAGGAGAGTTCAGGAAACGTTTACAGAGGGTAATGAGAAAAGGGCTAAGAACAGAAACACTGAGGCATGCTGACGTTTAGGTAATGGTGGAGATAAAATAGTTTATAAAGGACATTAAGAAGAGGCAACCAGAATGGTAGGAGGGAAACCAAGAAAAACCTATATCAATAAAACAAAGGTGAAAAAAAGAGTTGAAGGAGGAAAGTGCTAAGACCAAAAAAAAGTGTTCATTAGTTCGGCAGTAAATAGTTAACTGGTGAACTCGGTAAAAGCAATTTCAGGGGAGATGAAAGCCAGATAGCAGCAATTTAAGATGATGTGCATGAAGATATGATGAAGAAAAACATTTATTTCTAGAAATTAGGTTGTGAAGGAAAGGAAAAGGAAAAAGCAGTAGTTAGAGGGGGATATAGGCTCAGGGGAGGGTGTCTTGGCAAACTAGGATTTGGACGGATAGAGAAGTGAGCAGCATCCTGGACAGAAGTGCATAGACGGAGGCTATCTTAAGATGCTTTAGGGGCAGTAAGTGAACCACGTTTAGCTCACTGTGGAAGTCCTTTATGTTTCTTGAATTTATTAATTTATCTTTGTACTGTTTTTGTCTTTACAGAGAAGGGAAATGTTTCCCTAAAGACTGCCCTTTTAGCGCTGAAGAGCAATAAGCGTTTTCAAGATTTTAGAGGTGAGAATAATTGGAAGTTTTATACACATTTAGAATATAGAAAATATTTACCGTAAATTAAAAGTGATGGGCCACTTACATAAAAATATAACTAATGTGCTACTAGATTAAATGAGTAGTATACATTTAGTGTTTCAGGAGTTTAGATGAAGGAGAGCTCACTATGTTCTCTTAAGTCTAGTTTTTAACATTACTTATAAGTTCATAATTGAAGCAAATAAGATGTCTTCAAGAAGGATGCCAAACTATGTGACCTTAAAAATGTTTTAATTAGTAAAGTTAAGGTTTTGGGTTAGATAATACGTTCACACAGATCATAAATAAAAACGTGTTTATGTGAAAATCTCCCTCCTCCCTGGTCTTCTAGTCATCCAGTTCCCACCACTTTCCTCCAAATAACTAACCACTGTATTTAGTTTCTTATGTAGGTAGTAGTTAGAGATTTTTATGAACACTCAAGAAAATATGAATATGTATATTCTCCCTCCATACACTTTTTACATAAGTGGAAGCATAATGTATGCATTGTTTCTGTATCCTTGATCTTTTCTTCATTTAACAATATATTTTGGATATTTGTTCATATCAGAACATAAAGAGCTTTCTTATTCCTTTTTACAGTTGCATAGAGAATATGTGAATTCTCTTACTTGAATCTTTGTTTTTTTTATTTTGGCACCAAGAAATATTTTGTGGCATTGTGTGATGGCTGCCCTCTATGAAATATCTCCCTAACTTTTGAGTATAATTTTGAAAAGTTGTAATTCACTTTAGAAATGAGTTAACAGCCTAATGTTTCATGACCTTAACAAAACTTTTCTCCAACTTTTATTTTCAGTATAAAAAGTACCTTAGGGGAAAAAATGTGTATAGTTTTATTTCACGGTTTCTATAGATGTATCTTATTTGTTTGGTTTTAAACAACATCATAATACTTGACTGGAAAATAATAATACATTTGTATAGTGTTTGATTCACCAAGTACTTTTACATAATTTGGTTCACATCATTTTTTCTTTATGATTACTCTGTTAAGTAGGTGTCTTATAATAAAGAAAGAGAAAAATGAAGCTCAAAAAGATTGTACCTTACTTAGAAGCCCACAGCAAGCAAGTATTGGACTCCAAGTGCAGAGATTTTTTTTTTAGTGCATTATGATTTAATGGTTTAGTTTAAAGATTAATTTTATACTATAACTTACAGGTAAATATTATCACAATCACACATAATGCACATATATTGGACACAAAAATATTCATGACACAAAGTTAGGCCATGAGAATCTTAAAGTCTAGATGAAAATACAGGCTATTTACATAAAAATATAACTAATATACTACAAGATCAAATGAATGATACATATTTATAAGGAATTCAAGTGAAGGTGAAATTCCTATGAAAAAATGGAGGAAGGCTTTGAAAGAATGGTAGCATTTAGGTAGGGAGAGGAAAGGCAAGAAAACATTGAGACTGAGAGATTGGAAGGGAAGAAAAGATCGGAGAGGCAGTCAGGATTTGAAACATGAGGAACAAGAGATAATTGGTGGGTCTAGATTGGAGGGGATATTAAATGTTAGGCTCAAAACAGTTAGGTCTCAATATGCTTTTTGGGCAAGAGAGTGTTAGGTGCTAAGCTCTAAAGATTGATTTAACAGTGGATTGGATTGAGGAGACACTAGAAGCAGGAAGACCATTTATTCAGTTCATTCATTCAAGAAGTGAGTTTCATTGTTCTGGTAAGCAAGATAGGTAAATATGTGGTCTCTGACCCCAGAGATCTTAGTGAAAAAAGACAGATGAACAAACAAATAACTACAAATTGTGCTAAGTGTTAAGGAGAAACTGTGCAAGGATGAGGTAGAGAATTAAGGTGCAGTGACTTAATTTAGATAGGATGGCCAGGGAAGCATGCTCTGAGTTGTGACATTTAGGCTGAAACCTAAAGGATGAGAAGAAATCAGCTACTAGAAGAGTTGGAAGAAGAGTCTTCCACAGAGAAGGAAGAGGCTGTGAACGGTCTTAGGGTAGGAAATAGTGTATTTGTTTAAGAAACTGAAAGACCACTGTGGCTGGAGTCTAGTGAGAAAAGGAGAAGCTGGCAAAAGACAATGCTGGAGTGACAGGCATGGACCAGATTATTCAAGGTCTTAATAAAAGTAAAGGTAAAGAATTTGAATCTAATTCAAAGTGTAATGGAAGTACAATGGAGTGACATGATCAATTTTAAGTTACTCTATCTGCTGTGTGAAATTGGATTGAGAGAGGGAAAGAGTGGTTTTTAATAGTATTTAGAAAATTTTGGAAATACTCTAGGCTTGAGGAGATGAAGATCTGGACAACGGTAGTAAGTATGGGACTTGTAAGAAAAATATGAGTGAGAGAGATGCTAAAAAGGGGAAAAAACTGGTCATGGTGACTGAGGTTAGAGAGAAACAGAAATTAAAGATTGAAAGGTTACAGTTTCCAAGTAAGGTGAATGAAGGAATGAATCCAGTTTGAAACATATTTATTTCAAGTTTGTACCAATGATGGTACCTCAGAGAATATACAGAAAATAGAAATTTGGGAGAGTTGGAGATGTAATTTGGCCACACAATTACCTCATGGAGGTAAACAGTTGCAAAAAAGTCAGGATAAATAAATCTCGGCGACAGTACAGAGAGGAAAAAGCAAAGACCAAAGCCTTCTAGCCTAGATTCTTAATCTGTTTAGTCAATTTCATCACTTTGATTGTTTTATTAATCTTTGAGTTAACTCTAATCTCCTTAAGGTAAAGTGAGAAGGACTGTGCATGGTATAAGTCACTTGCCTATGGACATGGAACATGTGCAGCCAGAATTTAAACCAGGTCTTTAAATGTCAAAGTTTGAGCTCTTTCCGCTGGAAGCAGTTAGAGATATGAATCAAAATTTGGTTGAGACTTCAGGAATAGAAACATTTGAAAGTCATTGTCATAAGCTGATAGCTGAAAAATGTTTAAATAAATGGAGAACATATCATTTTATGGAGTAAGTTTCACATATTATACTGAAGTCACTTCTCTTTAAATTATTTATAAATGTAATACAATTCCTAAAGAGTTGTTTTGTGGGGGGAAATGTTTGAGGGGAGGATTGACAGTATGATTTTAAAGCTCTTCCAGAAAATAATAAGAGGAGAATAGAGAAGTTGGAGTTGGAAAAGATGTGATGAAATGACCGTTTTTCTTTTCACTGTGGGTATATGTGTAAATTGAGACAATCCTTCTGGGGATTTGAGATTGCATTTCAAAGGCCTTAAAAGTATGCATCCCATTTGACATTAGAAATTTATTTTAAGAAAAAAAATTAGTGAAAAGATGTATGCCTAAAAAGACTCATCATAAGGATCCCATTTATGATAGCAATTGAGTTTTGGTTTAGAAAGATAGGATATAGCCATGCAGTGGAATACTATACAGTCACTAGAAATGATACTTGTAGAATAATATGTTGACAAGGGAAAATGTTCAGGATAATTTGCTAAGTGAAACAAAGCTTGCCATTAAAGAGAATTAAGACTAAACTCCATTAAAATGTAAAAATGTTGGAAAGACACATACCAAAAATGCTGTCAGGGATTATCTTTGGGTGATGGAGTTTTGAGTGTTTTCTCTCCTTTTTTTCTTTTATGTGCTTTCTATGATTTCAGCATTAAGCTCACAGCGTGTACTAATTCTGTAATTGGAGGGAAGAAGTTTAATTAAGAAATAAGGGTGGATAGTCAGCTACCCAAATTGTCCAGGGGACAGTGAAGGCTGAGATTATTGGATTTGGGAAAGAAGGAAGTTGAGAGGTTATTTGCTATTATTTGTAATACCAAAAGCATTGTACTCTGAATCAGAATGTTTCAGCTGTAGCCTGATATTTTCCTGATTATGATCATGGGCAAGTCACTTAATCTAACTGTAAAATATATATATGTCTAGCTCTAGATAATAGTACCTGTCCTATGTATTTCGCAGGATTTTTTTGTGGAGATCAAATGAACACACGTAAAAGTACTTCATAAATTATAAAAGACTAGTCAAATATAAAGTAGTTTCATTCCAGGAGAGTTGTAGGGGCTTAAAAAATAGAGATTGGGTGATGAAATAGGGGCAACTAATATAGACCACTCATTTGAGAAGCTCAATAGTAAAGAATGGAGGGAAACAGAATAGTAGGTAGACTTGACAATAGTGTGGAGGAATGGAAACAATAAGGGAACAAAAGAGGAAAAAGGCTGAACAGTCCGTAATTGAGTAACAGATATTTAGTTAGTACATTTGTTGTGCACAGTAGAGATTGTGAAAGTATTATAATATAGCACAAGGTTCTTTTTCGTAAGGTGCTTATAGTGAAACTGGAGAAAAAAGACTTACCTTTAGAAAATAGTATACATACTAGATCATATGACACCAGCTATAAGACCTACAGTTATTAAGGTATAATGAGAATATACCTTATATATATAATGATATTATACCATTATTATATATAATGGTATATCAGAATGAACTATGATAATCTGGGGAAGCTTGAAGGAGCAGGTGGACTTTGAACTGACTGCTGGATTGAGGATAAGGTAGGGAGAGGATTTAAATATACTTTCTAGATGAGAAGACCAGCATGCCCGAAGGACATATGTGAGAATAAATCTGATGTCTGTGGGGAATAGTTAAGTGGAAAGGGTTCATGTTGCAGAATAGATTTGGGAACGCCCAAATTTGGAATGATAAAATACCTCCTTTATAACATTGCAAATTACAGTATGGCTGAGTTTAGGTTATTCTCCAAATACATAATGGAATTACTGACTACCCTATAGCTACCATGTTTCTAGATGTCTTTTTCTAGGCATAAAACTTTTACCTGAATACAAAAGCTGCGTCAGCATACTTTGTACCTAGGAAGTTCAGTCATCATAGTAAGAGGTTATAAATCCAGGTCCCAAAGTACTACATCCAGATTGACCATATTATTATATGATAAATATGGCTTTTCCCTAGATAGAATAAATAACTGCTTCTGTAAAGTGATATGATGTATGGTTAATCTCTCTAAAAGAAAATTTCTCTAAGATCTTTCACAGCATCATAAATTCCAACCATTAAGACATTTTTTTGTACCAAGGTATTACCTATATTAGGCCACTATTAAAGTGTTTGTTATTAAATACAACGGAGACTGACATGGGAATAAAACTCTCCCTTACACTAGCATTAGTTTCCAATTATTTTTTAAAAAACCAATTCTATTAGCAGATTAATTAGCTGTTACCATGTACACCAATGTTCTCAGCCCTAAGTAAAAGAGAGTCAGTATAAGATGATTTAAATTTTAGTGAAGGATTGGGAAGAGACAAATTGAGGTGGCACTAACTAGGAAGCAGTGGAGAGAACACTGGACACATGAGGAAAGGATATCAGAAGCATGGGAAGCAGAGATGGATGGATAGAGGTAGAAAGATATCAAAGTTGAATTCCTCCTATGAGTTTGCCTTATAATTGGTTGTCTGCTTTATATGTATATGTGAAATGAGAGTTAAATACGTACATCAAGAGAATACTTAAGGTGAACGCTGTATCATTTTTAAAGAAAAAATGCTAGGTATCTATACTAGTTTTTTGAATTATAGTTTAATTATTTTGATTATGTATCTAAACTGAAAATATTTTCTCTTGATAGAGGTTAGTGAACTTGCAAAGGCCTTAGACAAAGTCACCCATGAAAAAATTGATGTTGATGATGTAAAAGCTGTATTGCAAGGCCTGGGGATTTATTTTCCAGAGGAAGAATTACAGGAGGTGCTCACATCCGTTTCTGTTGATGGTATTTCCTTTTCTGAGTTATTTATTACATATAAAACTTGTGTTTACTTTCATTCGTAAATCCACAGAGCTGAGTAATTAGGAATCAAATGTAATGAGTTTAACAACATTAGATTTTCTTTATTAGGCTTGAGTAAGAATTTGTTTTGGATTATCCTTATATTGAGTTATCCTAAGGAAGTATTATCTTCCTCTCTTCTTCCCATTTTGCCTCCTGAGGTTTGAATCATGGGTTCTTATTGATCAGGAGCTGTGAAGCTGTCTCAAGCCTATGAAACAAAAGCCTAAGCCTTAGTATGGTGATTCACACTACCAGTTTAATTTCCTCACAGTCCTCAAAGGGCTACACTGATGTTTTTGGAATCCTACCAGTGGGATGTTTAGCTTACTTGCAGAGCCTTGTGGTGGTCTTTTTCTTCTTAAGTTCCAAGTATGACTGATAGAAAGCAAAAGATCGCACGTTTCCTTAATTAATATATCTTCGTTTATAAGTATATACAGTCTTCTTTTGATAGTATGGTTGATTTTGGTTTATGGCACTTATCTTCTAGTGGATAAATTGTCTTCCATGAAAACGTAGGTAGTTATAGTAGGACTTGTAATGCTGAAAAATTAAAAGAATTTCATATCAGAGAGAAACCTTCCCAAAACAATGGTCCCAGCTGGTTAAGGTATGTGTAAAATACGTAAAATACTCATTGGCTTTACAATGAAAAAAGACCACCAGGGTCATCATAATCATATTCTTTTTCATAGTTAGTCTGAGAGGTGTTTAGGAGAATCAAAGTTAGAAAAACATAGGACTAACATTGGTTTTGAAAGTTTAGTAGGCATGCATATTTTCTGACCTCATTCTTTTGTATCTTTGGACCAAAGGCCATTCATTCCTTTATGTTTCATTTTCAGATGAAGGGAAAGTGGACTTAAAAGATTGCCTGACTAGGTTGATGCAAACGCCATATTTTACAAAAGGTTCAAGTGAGTCAGAAGTTTTTAACAATAAAAATTTTGAGTCGAATTGTTTAGTTTTGATTGTATTCATTTGTGCAGTTTTCTAATGCTGTAAACCACATCATATGTATAACAAATCTACTTTGGATGAGGAATCAATAGGGGATCCTAGCCCTGACCTTTTCTTGACTTATATTTTCTAGATTATAGTATATTTTTCCATCACTCAAAAAGGGGTAAATATACAAAATCTATCTGGATGATTCATTCTAGTATCCAAGTTTGTGATCCAAGATGGCTGCCATCAGTTGGACACATGTCTTGGTCATTTTACTGAAATCCTGTGGGAATAAGAACAGTGTTCCTTCCTCTTTTTCTATTTTATTATCCCTTTATTAAAATGTGATTTTATCATTTTTATCATGAGAAAATTAACTATTAAAACATATAGGAACATGTTGAAACATGTAGACTTCCTCTGTGGTATTCTTCCCATTACTCTACTACCTTAGCCATGAGACATTGGATGTAATCTAGTTTTAATGTCTTCAGTTAACTGGCATCTTCATCTGCTAGAGAAGCCTGTGGAACTACTGGGTTTTCTTGAAGTTTAGGCTAAATGAGCCTAGGTTAGTAAATTCACAACTATTTTCAATTCCCTCAGTCTCCTTGGAGCAGCCCATATTCTTGAGATTAATTGAAATGGCTTAATTTCTTCTAGACTCTTTCCAAAACTGAAACTGAACTAAATTCAAAAGGCTTAATTTAGGTAGGTACAAAATGAAGTTGTTCTCTAGAGCCTGGGTGTTTAGGATGTGGCCAAAATGGTATGTTTTTTCAATTGACCAACTATTTTGTCCTTAATCCTTTGTTTTCTAAATAAGGCCTATAAAAACTCTCCTAGATAATGTGGTTTATAAGCAAATCTGTTACAGGGTTAATGTTTATGATATGATAGTGTTTATCATAATACAAAATTTAAAGATTTTTTCTTACTTGAATGAATAATTTATACGTGATGCTTTCAAAAATAAATAATACCTTTTTGTGGTATTGATATAGCAGTGCCAATCTCTCCATTATTTGGGGTCATTTTTATGTGTGTGTGTTGGTACATACAAGTATCCGATGAATGAAGAAAAATTGAGAATAGTCACATCGATCTATGACCAGTTATCCAATGTTTGACAAGAGAATTACTTTTACAATTAGTTAACGTAGCTTTAGTGGAATTTCCAGCTTCAGATATGATAAAGAGAAGTATAAGCAGATGTTCTGAGATTTCTTTTTATGTAATCATTCTTAAATCTCAAGTATAAATATCTGCAATGACTTGGTTAGCATCATGGTTAAATATTCTGCCTATGAAATCAGACACCCTGGGCTTAAAAATTGACTTCACATTTAGTAGCTGTGTATGCTTAGACAGAATAGCCTCTCTAAGGCTAGGTTTCCTTATCTGTTAAATAAGGGAAATATTGGTACCAACCTCACAGAATTTTTGTGGGATTAAATGAGATGGCGTATGTAAAGCACTTGGCAAGGTGCCTAGCAAGCTCAGACTGAATACTCAATAAGTGGTAATAGTAGTAGTTGTTATTGTTATTATTATTATTGTTCATGACCTACTATTGATATTTGAGTGTTTTTTAAATCTTCATACATTGTATATTTTTTTGAATATAGAAATAGACAACCTCTTGAAAGTTCTGGTCTCCATTAGGAAAAATGTGGCCAATCCTGATGACCTAGGCTCCATGATGAAAAGTATAGGAGTTCCATTACCACAAGATGTGATTGAAAGAGCATTGAAGAATGTGGCTCTCACAGGTGAGTATTTAATGTTTCTAGGTATTCTTTATCTTAGCTGACATGCATCTGTTTGAACTTTTCAAGAATCCTTAAAGGGTTTTCTGCTTCATGGATTATCGAAGGCTTTTTTCTACTTATTTCCCAGTTGAGTTCTAGTTATTTTCAGGAGCATCATACAAAGGAGGATCTATAGGGGATAAGTCTGTATGTGTCTGAATGATACATGTGAATCTGTCTTTATGATTGAATATGTATCTTTAACAATATTTCAAGGCCAAATCTATAAGTTGTTTTTCAGTATAGCAATTATACTATAATCGCCTATCTCTTATCTTTGATCAGTTACCTTTTCCATGTTCCCTGACATGCATTTTTCTTTCAGAGGATGGGACAGTAAATTTAGAAGAGTTTATGGGCAATTTGGTCAATTCAGAATTTTCATCTCTACTTGAAAGTGAGTAAGAATTTTCAGTTGAATGAAGATAGGTAATGACATGTGTTGTAGATCTCTTGGGAAAACGCCACATAGCTTTTGAGACGGTCTTAAACTGATTTAACACTGGCAGAATTTTCTAATGTCTTTATTCCATGCATGTCAAACGTGCAGCACAACTAAAAAAGACCATGATCTTTATGGGGAGTACTGGTTACCTCTTCTGCCTAGTCTTGACTGTGATTATGTTTCCCTAAGGATCTTATGAAGGTAATAATATTAGTTAAAAATGACTGAACTAACACTTGGAATTAGGTTATTTGCAAATTACTCTACTTTAACTAAAGTGTAATTGTATGAGACATATTAACATATGATAAACAGTGGGTTCCTGATATTGATTTATAATTCTTCATTAAGAAACTGGTGAGGGGCCAGCCCCGTGGCCGAGTAGTCAAGTTCACACGCTCCACTTTGGTGGCCCAGGGTTTTGCTGTTTTGGGTCCTGGGTGGGGACATGGCACTGCTCATCAGGCCATGCTGAGGCAGTGTCCAACATGCCACAACTAGAAGGACCCACAACTAAAAAATATACAACTATGTACTGGGGGGATTTGGGGAGAAAAAAAAAAACTGGTGAAAACCCTTATTCTCATCGTTGGGAGAATTTTTCTTCTCTTTTTTTGTTATTTGAACTTTGTTTTCTTTGGTTATTTCTTTGTCTGGGCTCCACTTTTTTTCAATCTCTCTTTATACACTAACTCAAAGTTTAATTTTAGTACAACATTTGTCAAGCATAATGTTAAGGACCCTTTTCTTCTTTTGGTTTGCATAGTATTTATGTAATCTCAGGCCTCTGGGTTCTCTGATGAGCTGCCCTTTCTTGCCTCTATGGTATTGAAAAGGAAGTAATGTTTTATATTTTGCATATTTAGGTGAGAAGAATAATTCTAACTTCAAGCCAAAACTATATTCACTTCCAGATCACTTTGTATTGTACATTTTTAAATGCCCTCTGTTGTTTCAGAAGCTGAAGGTTTACTTCTTTGACTATTTCCACCTACTTTTGGATAGGCACACATGTATAGCTTTGACAAACCAAAAATATTTATGAAGAGATGTTTTGTAGAAATGCCTTATTTGGGGCAATTTCTTAATAATATACCTCATCTGTTTTTGAGAACTGGCATTAAAAACAACCATATCAAAGTGTGCTGTATCTCCTGAAGAGATCGTCCATTATGTTATTTAGTGGTGAATATGAGAAATGTCTCTTGAAATTTAATATCAGAAAACACCTTCTCTCTCCCAAAGACCAGTGTGCTTTTTTGTGTAGATGATAACCTGAATTCCCCTTTGTGTCTTAGCTACCAGAAAGTTCAGACCTAACTTTAATATTTAATCACTGTAACTGTGTTGGCTTTGTTTGTTATTTACTACCTTGTTCTAATGTGTTTTTGAATTTTTAATTCTATTTTAAATATATTAATTTTTCATTGAATAATTCTTCAAATTATTTTGGAAAGTAATTGGGTATAAATTATGAAGCAGTGTCTCAAAAACTGCTATCTGTGAATGCTGGCCCATGGGATATTAAATGGTATGTTATAAAGAAAAAAAAGAGTTCTGTGGCTAAATTTGGAAAACACTGAAGTAGAAAACAAGCAAATTTCTCTACTTCCAGACTATTAGAGACTTTGTATGTTTAAGAGTTTGATATAGTTGATATATAGCAGACCCTGATTCTTCTAGATCACAGAACTCTTTTTATTTTTTGTCTTATTTTGATAATTTTAGAAATGATAAATTATGAAATATTTCAAACACACGGAAAAGTGTAGAAAATAGTAGATTTGGCACATTTTAACAGTTTCTTACATTGTATTTGGACCTTTGTTTATTTTTAAAAGAAATTAAAATATTTAGTTATGGTTGAAGCCCCCATCACCATTCTCAATCCTATTATCTTCACTTTCTCGCTCATTTTCCAAGGCTAACTTCAAGATGGTACAGAAACTTTTGTATCACACATATTAATTTTCCTGTGACTTCACAAGACAATTTGGAGACACTATGTTGAAGAATAAAATTGAAAAATTGTTTGCTGCTAATATGATAAAATAGAATCTATTTATGTATATTACCCTTGTACCCTGTGGCTTTGCTAAATTTTCTTATTAGCCCTGGTATTTTGTAAATTCTTTAGAATTTTTTATGTAAATAATTATGTAATCTGGAGATAGACACAGTTTTACTTCTTTCTTCCAATTCCCTATGCCTTTTATTTCTTTTTCTTATTCTTACCTTATTTTATTGGCTAGCACCTCCATTCTAACGTTAAATAGGAGTGTTGAGAATGAGCATCTTACTTTATTCTGATCTTAGGGATAAAACATTCAGGTTTTTACCATTAGGTAGGTTAGATGTAGGTTTTTTTAATTAAAGGCCCAGTTTGAGGAATTTCCCTTACTCTTTCCAATTTACTGCAACATTTATTATAAATGGTTGTTGAATTTAGTAAAATTCTTTTCCTATCTTTTACGATAATCATATTATTTTTCTCCATTATTCTGTTGATATGGTGAATTATAATGATTGTCAAATGTTAAACCAATCTCGTAGTGCCTGGAGAAACTTCACTTGGGCATGGTATTGCCCTTTTCACATATTGCTGGATTCAAGTTGACAATGTTTTGCTAAATTTTTGTGTTTATGTTCATGAGAGATAGTGGTCTATAGTTTTCCTGTGATGCCTTTGTCTAAGTTTTGGTTTCAGGGTAATATTGGCCTCAAAATGAGTTAGAAGTGTTACCTCCTTATTTATTTTCTGAAAAAGTTTGTGTAAGTTTGGAAATTTTTTTTTCCCTTAACTATTTGGTAGAATTCAACAGTAAGACCATTTGGGCGTGGAATTTTCTCTGTGGAAAGGTTTTTAATTATGAAATCACTTTACCAGATATAGGACTATTCATGTTTTCTATGCCATCTTGTCAGTTTTGGTAACCTGTATTTTTCAAGAATTTTTCTATTTCATCTAATTTGTCACATTTGTTGGCATAAATTTGTTCATAATATTCTCTTATTATCTTGTTTATGTTTGTACAGTCTATTGTGATTACCCTCTTATATTCCTGAGATTGGCAGTTTCTGTTTTCTCTTTTTTTCCTTGACCAGTCCTTCTTGGGCTTCATCAATTCTGCTAATCTTCTCAAAGAACCAATTTTTGGCTTTGATAATTTTCTCTATATTTTATCTGTTTTGTATTTTGTTGATTTCTGCTTTTATCTTTGTTATTTCTTTCCTTTTACTGACTTTGGATCTACTTCACTCTTTTTCTAGCTTCTTAAGGCGGAAACTTTGGTCTCTCTTCTTTTCTAATATAACCATGCAGACCTGTAAACTTCTTGCCAAACACTACCTTAGCTGCATCCAATAAATGTTATGTTTTATTTTAATTATAATTTAGTTTGAGATATGTTTTAATGTCCTTTGTGCTTTCATCTCTGATCCATGGACTATTTGGAAGTGTGTCATTTAATTTCTAAATATTTGGAGTTTTCTTAGTTTTTTTTAATTGTGACTTGTAATTTAATTACGTTATGGTCAGAGAAAAGATGCTTTATGATTTCAATGTTTTTCAATTTCTTGGTATTTGTTTTATGGCCCAGTATATGGTCCATTTTGGTAAATGTACTCTGTGCAGTTGAAAATGTGTATTCTGCACTTGAAGAGTATAGTATGTTATAAATATGAATTAGGTAAAGGTGGTTGATAGCTTCCTCAATCATCTGTTTGTACTGACTTTTTTTAGTTATTCCATCAATTGTTGAGAGAGAGGTACTAAAATTTCTATTATGATTGTTATATTTTCTATTTCTTCCTTAAATTTTGTCAATTTTGTTTTATGTATTTTTAGACTCTCTTATTCAGTGCATCTGCATTTGTGATGGTTATGTCTTCCTGATGAATTGACTGGCAGAGAATACTGAATTTATCATTTTGGAAAAAAAAAATCACTTCCTCCTCAGAGTACAAGCTGAAAATTGATTCCCCATTCTGTGGCTACATGACACTTTATTTGCCACATGTCAAATATTGCCTTCTAACTGTTTCCTCAGTATCAGTGGGTAATACTTCATGTCCAGTATCATATGGGCTATACTATGTTAAATGTTCCTGTACTTTATAGCCATATTCCCTGTAAAATGATAAAAAGAACGTATTTCTGTTTCTGATAGAATAACTTAAAGCGTGCATCTGAATACACATCAAAAAGCCTCTCCTTTTCACGCTGAAATTGACTATAACAATATGAAGATATAGGAAGATTTTTCATAATTGAAAATTATTACTATTTCCCATTCTCATGGCTTTTGTCATTTCTGTTTTTTCCTAGGAAATAGGATTGATGACAGCAATCTAGACACCTTCCTAGGAAACATGAGGATGGAGATGTCAGGTAAAGAATTTTGTGAGATTCTGAAGGACCTGTCAATTAAAGGTGACATATACGTAGACATGGCCCACATAGTTCTGTCTTCTGAGAAGTCCTTTTATAAATGAAAACTTCTTAGATATGAAATTCATATAGAAAGAACCATGGCAAATGATAAAAAGTAATAAAAAAAAATTAGCTTAAATGTCATGCTTTAGGTTGCCATCCTTGGGAATAAATTTTATGGTTTCCAAGAGCTTCATTTGGGTAGTACAGAAGAAACAAGGATATGTATTGGCTATTTTAGTGCTTTTGATCTAAATTTATATTTATAGGAATACTTTGGCATCCCTTCCTCTATCACTGATTCAACAGGCATTTTTAAGGTCCCCCTATGTTCTATATACTCTGCCAGACACTGAGACTATAGAATTTAATAAGACATGATTTCGGTCCTTCAGAAGATTATAATATAGTAGGAAAGCAGAGTGACCTTTCCATACACTGCCGGGTGCCCAGAAGACAGAATAGAGACTTCCCAAGGTTCAGAGCAAGTCAGAGTACCTGAGAGAAGTGCTCCAGCAGGGTGGGCTCCTATGCTGCCACCATTAATATTTACACCCAGTCCACTATGTCAAGAAAGGCCCGGCACACAACATTCTGTAACTTTTTTAAATTGTTTTTTTTCGCTTTTTCCATCCTTTTTTAAAAGCACTAGTCTGTACGTGGAGACCATAATCAAGACATTAACAAAAATCAGCTTCTTTGAAGAAAAGCATTTCTATAGAACAAAGATAGGTGTATGTTTCACTGCCACTACATAGCTCAAAGCAGGAAAAAAAAATTTACAAAATACAAGTTTTTTTTAAAACAATTTTTAAAGGGCAGAATTTTCATCCTTATAATTAGAAGAACATTTTATGCATAGGGATACGGTGCATTATTGTTTATTTGAATTAACAGTGACAAACCCTTTAACTGGCAGACAGAACCAAAAAATAATCACTAATGTTGAAAATTGTAGACAAACCCAACCATTAGGCAATTTGTCTACTATTTTTATGTGATTACAAAATGTGAAAAAAATTCTTATCTCACCCTCCCCCTTTTTGGTGATGTGATCATACATGAGACAGGCACAAGGTTAACCAAAGCGGGTGATGGGGGAGTGATGGGAACCACAGCTAGGACCAGACGATATTCCACGGGCAAGGGGAGCTTGAAAGAGCAAGGGCCTAATTGACAGTGACAGGGAACTGGATGGGAAGGAAACATGACTAAATGAATTGGTCAGTGAAAACAGAGGATGCAGGGCAGATGGCTGCTCATTTCCCCAATGCCCGCGGTTTCAGAAGAGTTGGAACACAGCTTAAGTAGCCCTTTCTAACTCTACCTTCATAGACCAGGATAGGTGGTAAAAGCGGTCCCAGTGGAAGGACTAGTGTGTGTGGGTGTATGGATGGCGTGGGGAGCAGATGAGAGGGCACAAAGAGTCAGAATGGGGATGTGAGCAGCCGCAGCCAGGTTCTTGTAGTTAAGGGGTCAAAATAGAGATGACCAAATGCAGAGGAAACCCAGTTCTGTCAGCTGAGAGCTCAGTGAGAACAACTGGCAGTTATGGCCAAAAGCTCTGGTGAGGGTGCTCCAGCACAGACGACCAAGGGGAACCCAGCCAGGAGGGCCAGAGCTGAGCCAAGGGAGAAGGGATGATCATCTAACATTGGTAAGTATACTGATTCAATAGTGCAGAGCATGTTCCAAGACCAGGCCAGCAGGAGGTTATCCTAAACTTCTCCTTGACAACTGGAGGAAGTTCTCTGGTGTGTGACAAGAAAACATGGAAATGAAAATAAGAAAAACAAAAGTAGGATATAAATTCCTTAAAATCACCAAAAGATAGTTTCTGACTAGTTCATGGAGGCTACAGTCTACTGAGTGTTAGTTACATAAATTTTGCAAGTTGCAAATTTCTTAGGTCAAAAACTCAAGTGTACAAAAGTTTGCTTTTATTTTTCTATGTCTTAACTTAGAGAAATTAGGGACATTGCAGTTTTTACCCACATGAGTTTGTATTCTGAGTGGTAGAAAACATGATCTTAACTACTAGGTTAAATTCTGTTCATATCAGCACTTTCATAAGTTGAATAAAGATCTTTTCATTTCTCCCTTCTCCAGATGGTTGTGTCTATGCTCTGGAAGGCTCATGTCGGGGTGGGTGGGGAAAGGGAGGTAGGTGCCTGCTCTTCAGATATCTTCATGATAACATGTGTGCTCTGAGCCTCATATATATACTTTTTAAACACCCTCCCCCCAGTACATAGTTGTACAGTCTAGTTGTAGCTCTTTCTGGTTGTGCCATTTGGGAGGCCACTCAGCATGGCCTGATGAGCGGTGCCATGTCCATGCCCAGGATCCGAACCGTCGAAACACAGGGCCGCCAAAGCAGAGCGCGCGAACTCAACCACTTGGCCACGCGGCTGGCCCCCAAGCCTCATATATTGTTCTCTTTCATGCTGGCATTCATTGAATGACCTGCATTTTCTTCTGGTGTTTTATCTTGCAGTCTGTACTGTTACTTGTTGCTGTGCACCTCAGCTTGATTGTCAGGCCGCTTTGGGGCTTTGGCTCTTCTCTCACCAACCTCTGCTCCTTTTACTGTGTCACAGGAAATCTTTTGCTATTCTTTACGCCATGCTGGGGCTGTGGAAAACTTGGTGGCTGTCCTAGACTCTCCTTCTTAGATAGCAATGCTCTCATTTTTTCTCTACTTTCCACTTGCTCTGTTTTCTCAGGAAAGTCTGTCTGTCTTGCTGCCTTCCAGGGCTCCAAATGGACTATCAGGCACAGGCCCCATTTTCTTGGTAGGTTTTGCACAATTGGAAGGGGCAGCTCACTAAAATGGATTGCTTTAAAGTTTTATTTTTGTTAGATAACAGGGAAAAATGATTCCATGCCCCTATCTCGTTACATCAGCAGAATGAATATGTCTTCTCTCCATCATCTCCTGCAAAGGAACTCATTCCAAGTTCTGAAAGATACTACAAAGCTTGAATACTGATTTTTTTTGTCTGTTATGTATTTCAAAGTGCCTTATTTTGCAGTTGATTCATTATCTCTCAGAAACAATAATCTTCATTGATTCTCTTTTTTTTTTTTTTGATGCTCTTTATTTTTTTTTTATTGTGGTAACGTTGGTTTATAACATTATATAAATTTCAGGTGTACATCATTATGTTTTGATTTCTGTGTAGATTACATCATATTCACCACCCAAAGACTAACTACAATTCATCACCATACTCATATGCCTAATCACTCATTTTACCCTCCTCCCTACCCACTTCCCCTCTGATAACAACCAATCCAATCTCTGTCTTTATGTGACTGTTTGTTGTTGTTTTTGTCTTTTATTTCTGAGTGAGATCATACAGTATTTGACTTTCGCCCTCTAACTTATTTTGCTTGGCATAATACCCTCAGGGTCCATCCATGTTGTCACAAATGGCCAGATTTCATCATTTTTTATGGCTGAGTAGTATTCCATTGTGTGTATATACCACATCGTCTTTATCCATTCATCCCTTGATGGGCACCCATGTTACTTCCAAGTCGTGGCTATTGTGAATAATGCTGCAATGAACATAGTGGTGCATGTATCTTTACACATTCATGTTTTCATGCTCTTTGGATAAACACTCAGCAGTGGAATCACTGGATCATATGGTTAGTTCTGTTCTTAATTTTCTTGAAGAATCTCCATACTGTTTTTCATAGTGGCTCCACCAGTTTACACTCCCACCAGCAGTGTATGAGAGTTCCCTTTTCTCCACATCCTCTCCAACACTTGTTATTTCCTGTCTTGTTAATTATAGCCATTCTGATGGGAGTGAGGTAATATCCCCTTGTAGTTTTGATTTGCGTTTCCCTGCTAGTTAGCGATGTTGAACATCTTTCCATGTGCCTGTTGGCCATCTGTATATCTTCTTTGGAGAAATCTCTGTTCAGATCTTTTGCCCATTTTTTAATTGGGTTGTTAGCTTTTTGGGTTGAGATGTATGAGTTCTTTATGTGTTTTGGATATTAACGCCTTATCAGACATATGGTTTGCAAATATCTTCTCCCAAGTGTTAGATTGTCTTTTAGTTTGTTAATGGTTTCCTTTGCTGTGCAGAAGCTTTTTAGTTTGATGTAGTCTCATTTGTTTATTTTTTTTATTGTTTCCCTTGCCTGGTCAGACCTGGTACTTGAAAATATGTTGCTAAGACTGATGTTGAAGAGCGTATGGCCTATGTTTATTCTAGAAGTTTCATGGTTTCAGGTCTTACATTCAAGTCTTTAATCCATTTTGAGTTGATTTTTGTGCATGGTGTAAGATAATGGTCTACTTTCATTCTTTTCCATGTGGCTGTCTAGTGTTACCAACACCATTTATTGAAGAGACTTGCCTGTCTACATTGTATGTTCTTGGTTCCCTTGTCGAAAATTAGCTGTCCATAGTTGTGTTGGTTTATTTCTGAGCTCTCGATTCTGTTCCATTGCTCTGTGTGTCTGTTTTTGTGCCAGTACCATGCTGTCTTGGTTACTATAGGTTTGTACTATATTTTGAAATCAGAGAATGTGATATCGCTAGCTTTGTTCTTTTTCCTCAGGATTCCTTTGGCTATTCGAGGTCTTTTGTTTTTCCATATAAATTTTAGGATTCTTTGTTCCATTTCTAAGAAAAGTGTTGTTGGAACTTTGATAGGGATTGCATTGAATCTGCAGATTGCTTTAGGAAGTATGGACATTTTAACGATGTTAATTCTTCCAATCCAAGAGCATGGAATATTTTTCCATTTCTTAGTGTCTTCTTCAATTTCTTTCAACACGGTTTTATGTTTCTTTCAACAAAAAATTTTCAGTTTACAGATCTTTCACCTCTTTGGTTAAGTTTATTCCTAGATATTTTATTCTTTTTGTGGAAGTTGTATTCTTAATTTCTCTTTCTGCTACTTCATTGTTACTGTATAGAGATGCAAGTTATTTTTGATTTTGTATCCTGCAATTTAGCTGTGTTCATTTATTTCTAAAAATTTTTTGATGGATTCTTTAGGGTTTTCTATATATAAAATAATGTCATCTGAAAATAATGACAGTTTCACTTCTTCCTTTCCAATTTGGATCTCTTTTATTTCTTTTTATTGCCTGATGACTCTGGCTGGGACTTCCAATACTACGTTAAATAAGAGTGGTGAAAGTGGGCATCCTTTTCTGGTTCCTGTTCTTAGAGGGATAGCTTTCAGTTTCTCTCCAATGAGAATGATATTAGCTGTGGGTTTGTCATATATGGCCTTTATTATATTGAGGTACTTTCCTTCTATACCCATTTATTTGGAGTGCTTATCATAAATGGATGTTGTATCTTGTCAAATGTTTTCTCTGCATCTATTGAGATCATGTGATTTTTATTCTTCATTTTGTTAATGTGGTGTATCATGTTGATTGATTTGCAGATGTTGAACCATCCCTGCATCTCTGGAATAAATCCCACTTAATCATGATGTATGATCTTTTTAATGTATTGTTGTATTCGCTTTGCTAGTATTTAGTTGAGGATTTTTGCATCGATCTTCATCAGTGATATTGGCCTGTAATTTTCTTTTTTTGTGTTGTCCTTGTCTGGTTTTGGTATCAGGGTAGTGTTAGTTTCATAGAATGAGTTAGGAAGCTTCCCCTCCTCTTCAATTTTTTTGAAGAATTTAAGAAGGATAGGTATTAAGTCTTCTTTGAATGTTTGGGAGAATTCACCAGGGAAGCTGTCTAGTCCTGGAGTTTTATTTTTCGCGAGGTTTTTGATTACTGTTTTGATCTCCTTACTGGTGATTGGTCATTCAAATTCTTTACTTCCTCTTGATTCAGTTTTGGAAAGTTGTATGTTTCTAAGAATTTATTCATTTCTTCTAGATTATCCGATTTGTCAGTGTATAGCTTTTCATAGTATTCTCTTAGAATCTTTTGTATTTCTGAGGTGTTTGTTGTAATTTCTCTTCTTTCATTTCTGATTTTATTTATTTGAGCCTTCTCTGTATTTTTCCTTGGTGAGTCTAGCTAAAGGTTTGTCAATTTTGAGTATCTTTTCAAAGAACTAACTCTTGATTTCATTGATTTCTTCTATTGTTTCTTAAGTCTTTATTTCATTTATTTCTGCTCTAATTTGTATTATTTCCTTCCTTCTTCTGATTTGGGACTTTGTTCTTCTTTTTCCAGTTCCGTTAGGTGCACTGTTAGATTGTTTACTTGGGATTTTTCTTGTTTGTTGAGATAGGCCTGTATTGCTATAAACTTCCCTCTTAGAACCACGTTTGCTGTATCTGACAGATTTTGGCATGTCATATTTTCATTTTCATTTGTCTCCAGGTCTTTTTTGATTTCTCCATTGATCAATTGTTGTTCAGTAGCATTTTTTTTAACCTCCACATATTTGTGGCTTTTCTGATTTTCTTCCTGTAGTTGATTTCTGGTTTTATACCATTATGGTCAGAAAAGATGCTTGGTATTATTTCTTAAATTTATTTAAGAAATCTTATTAAATTTATTGAGACTTGTTTTGTGGCCTAATATGTAATCTATTCTAGAGAATGTTCCATGTACATTTGAAAAGAATTTGTATTCTGTTGTTTTGGGATGGAATGTTCTGTATATATCTACTAAGTCCGTTTTGTCTAATGTGTCATTTAAGGCCAATGTTTGCTTATTGATCTTCTGTTTGGATGATCCATCTATTGGTGTAAGTGGAGTGTTAAAGTCCCCTACTATTATTGTGTTACTGTATATTTCTCTTTTTATGTCTGTTAGTAATTCCTGTATATATTTAGGTGCTCCTATGTTGGGTGCATAGATATTTACAAGTGTTATATCCTCTTACTGGATTGATCCCTTTATCATTATGTAGTGCCCGTCTTTGTCTCTTGTTACAGTTTTTGTTTTAAATTCTGTTTTGTCTGATATAAGCATTGCTACCCCCGCTTTCTTTTCATTGCCATTTGCATGGAGTATCTTTTTTCTGTCCCTTCACTTTCAGTTTGTGAGTGTCTTTAGGTCTGAAGCGTGTCTCTTGTATGCAAGATATATATGGGTCTTGTTTTTCATCCAGTCAGCCACCCTATGCCTTTTGATTGGAGCATTTAGTCTATTGACATTTAAAGTAACTATTATTAAGTATGTACTTATTGGCATTTTGTTACTTTTGTTCTGGGTGTTTTAGTAGTTCTTATCTGTTCCTTTCTTCTTCTCTTGCTCTCTTCCCTTGTAGTTTGATGGCTTTTTTTAGTATTATGTTTGGGTTCCTTTCTCTTAATTATTTGTTTATTTATTATAGGTATCTGATTTGTGATTACCATGAGGTTCATATATAATAACCTACATATATAGCAGTCTATATTAAGTTGATGATCTCTTTAGTTTTCTTCATTGATTCTTGAGAGCTTCCTTTTTTCCTGTGCCTTATATTTATTTGGAATTAAACCAGGTTATATTTTAGATCAATGTGTACAATATCCCAAAATTGCTACGTTTACATTAATAATTTTATAAAATTCACAATAAATATAATTTACCCCAGTGACCTAGTTTCTTATTTTTACAGTTGATAAAACAGTGAACAAGAATGAGATAAAAGATAGGAGATCATCTATGGGTGAGTGAAAGTTTGCTAATTAACTAACTAATTCATTCACTGAACAAAGTTTTGCCGAATAACCAGCAGTAGTAGACACTATGTTACATGCTAGAGATACAAATAAGTAAAATGAACTTTTTAAACCTATGGTAATATCTGTGGCAACATTCTTTGTGTGGGCTTTTCTAACACATGAGCTTCACAGTGCTATATGATTTGATATTTTCCTTATCCTCATCATGCTCTTATTTCCTAAGGAAGGAAGATTGATTTCAGTAATGTGGATGCTGTTCTGAAAAACATGGATATAAAACTTACAGAAGATGAACAACAGGAACTACTAGAACACCTTTCAGCTACTAGTGAGGCTTTAAAATACCTCATTCTGGTTGTTAGATACTGTTCAGCTTGTTAGTTTGGAGGCTTTTCCATGGGAGTTTCTGACAATATATTTATATGAATTATCTAGACTAAATTTAAAAAAAGTTTTCATGCCATTACAAAAGTTCTGCTTCTTATTATTTGATATGCTGAGAGATAGTAGACTTCTTAGACATTAACTGATTCACTCCGCTGTCAGATAATTCTTCCTAAAGCACAGTTTTTAATGTGCTACCCTGCTATTCAAAAATCCTCAATGACTATACACAGTCTAAATTTTTGCTCCAATGTTTTTCATTTAAAAAATTATCTATAATTTACATACAATAAAACTACAGATTAAGGTTATAAAATGGTGAATTTTGACAAATATATATACTTGTGTAATTCACACTGCAATCAGGATATAGATATTTACAGCTTCTCAGAGAATTCCCTGATGCTTCTTGCCATTCAGTCACTTGCCTCTTCCCAAGAGGAAAACCACATCACTGCACATTTTTATCATTATTGATTAGTTTTGCCTCTTATAGGACTGAATTTAAGTAGAAACATACAGTATAATCCAATGTATGTAATCTTCACAAAATGTCTTCTTTTTTCAACATTTTGTGTTTAAGATTCATCCATGGATTTGAATGTATCTATAATTCCTTCCTTATATTGCTAAATAGTATTCTATTGTATGAATTAGCAACTTTTACTATCCTTTGTCTTTATAGGAGACATATGAGTTTCCCCAGTTTTTGGCAATTATAAGTAAAAATCACCACAAAATTCAAACCTGTAGGTTCTTATGTGTGAACATGAGTTTTAATTTCTTTTGGGATAACACTTAGAAGTGGGGTTGCTGGGATGTATGATAAGTATATGTTTAACTTGATGAAAAAAAACTGCCGCTGTTTCCCAAAGTGCCTGTACCATCACCAATATAAGCATTTCAGTTGCTCTGCAGTCTTAACTAGCACTTGGTAGTGTCAGTTTCCTTTTTAGTAGCTATCATAGTATGTGTAGTGGTATTTCATTTGGCTTTAATTTGCGTTTCCCTACTGACAGATGACGTTGAGCAACATATTCTTATTTGCCATCTGTATACTGTCTTTTCTGAAGTGTCTGCTCAAATATTTTGCCCACTTTTTGATGGAGTTGTTTCTTTTCTACTTATTGACTTTTGAGAATCTTTTATATATTCTGGATGCAGGTTTGATATGTACCCTGTAAACATTTCTTTCCAGTCTGTTACTTATCTTTTCATTTTCTTACCAGTGTCTTTGAAAAATTTATAATTTTTTATGAATAGTGCTTTTTGTGTCGTATCTAAGAAGTCTTTACCTAACCCAAGGATACAAAGATTTTCTCCTGTGTTTTCTTCTAGAACAGTGCTATCCTATAATACAAGTATAGAACAATCCTCATGTAATATAATGCAATCCTCGTATGTAATTTTAAATGTTCTAGTAGCCCCATTAATAAAATTTAAAAGAGGTAAAATTAATATTAAAATAGATTTTATTTAACTCAAAATATTCTAAAGATTATCATTTAAACTTGTAGTCAACGTAAAAACTTACTAATGAAACATTTTATTTTCCTTTGTTCATACTAAGACTTTGAAATCTGTTGGATATTTTACTCTTATGGCACAACTCAATTTAGACAATACACATTTCATGCATTCAATAGCCACATGTGGCTAGCAGCTAACATATAGGACAGCATAAGCACAGTGCTGGAAGTTTTATAGTTTTAGATTTTACATTTAGGTCTATGATCATTTTGAGTTAGTTTTTGCATAGTTTGAGATTCTTTTTTTTAACACATTGACATGCAGTTGATCCAGCACCATTTGTTGAAAGGACTGTCTTTTATTCATTGAAGTGTCTTTCACCCTTCGTTGAAAATAAGTTGATGAGTATATGTATGTGCCTCCATTTCTGGGTGGTCTATTCAGTTCCATTGATTTTTGTGTTTGTCCTTTACTGTATTTCTATTATAAGGCTTGATTTTAGCTACTTACTGTCAGTCTTTCAACTTTGTTCTTTTTTTTCAAAGTTGTTTTGGCTATTCTAGTTTTTTGTTTTTTGCTTTTCCACGTAAATTTTACAATCAGATTATTGGTTTCTACAAAACTTCCTGCTGTGATTTTACTGAGATTGCATTTAATCTATCAATCAATTTGGGAAAATTGACACCTTAACAGTATTGAGCCTTCCAATCTATGACAAGGTGTATCTCTCCACTTATTTAAGTCTTTGATTTCTCTTATGAGAGTTTCATAGTTTGAAGCACACATATCTCACACATATTTTCTTTGATTTATACCTAAGTATTTCATGGTTGTTGGTACTATTATAAAAGGAAATTCGAAATATTTTCAATTTTCAATTCTTCATTGCTAGTACATCAAAATATCATGGACTTTTCCTCAGCTTTACTGAGATATTGATATCTAATATTATGTAAGTTTAAGGTGTATAACGTGACGGTTTGATATACGTATATATTGTGAAATGATTACCACAATAAGGTTAGCTAACACATCCATCACCTCACATAATTCCCAATTTTTTTTGTGGTGAGAGCATTTAAGATCTACTCTCTTAGTGTGATTCCTCCAACTTTGGAAGAGCATGGAGGGACTTAGGTGGCTTGTGTCAGTGAGTGTGAATACCTGTGGAACGGAAGCCAGTAAAATCTGTAGGGAATCTGTGATGGCTCTTGTGGCCATTCTTCGTGGCATAAGCTGCTAGGTTTGTCTACAGAACAGATCCTTGGGAACCGTGATTGCTCTACTGCATAGCTACTGTTGGTAGCCCCAGCTTTTCTTCCTTGTTCTTTGCCATCATTATATGTCTCAGCTTTCCCATTTTCTGGGTGGGGTGAAACAAAAGCAAACCTTTGTTTAGTGTCTTGAAAGGCTGGGGAAAGCTGGTCACTCACCCTCCTCTCCCTTTCCTGGTGAGGGGAACTCTTTCTAGCTGAGTTCTCTCCTGGCACTGAGCAAAGCCAGCTTGGGAGATGGAATGATGCAGGTGAAATGAAACTATCTTCCTTCCTTTTTTGTGTGGTTATTCTCATGTTTTTTTTGTTCTACTGTGTTGCTGAAGTTTCTTAAGCAGACTCCAGCGCTCTCCCAGAGGTGTTTTGTTTGTGGATAGCTGTCTAATTGTCCATCTGTGTTAGAGGACAGAGGCTTGGGTCTCCTATTTCACCATCTTGGTGACATCACCTAAGTAAAAAAGTACTTATAGTATCCAATGCCCTCTTTGTTGTGGTCCCAACATAAATTTCCAATCTATAACAAATCTGGAAAAATACTGTCAATTGGTTTGGGGATTATCATTATAAGCTCAACTATGTGTGCTAATAAGTGTACTCACTTTAAAATGGATAAGATATTGTGGGTAGGTATTATTTTACATTAAAAAATTATTAAATTTCCTTAATTCACAGAACAAAACATTTTAAATCCTACTTAGCTAGGATTAATCCAAAAGAAACTTAAAAAACCCTTTTGTTCTCTTGGTAAGTCATCAGAAATTGAATGACTTGTTTGCATTAGTTACATTATATAGGGTCTGTTTGAGAGCATGCTATGAAAGATTCTTATCATTGATTCATAATCTCCTGGTCTCATAATTACAGTTCCAAAAATTATATGTATGTGCATGTATATGGTATTTATATATTCTTTCACTGTACAATTGGGATTTTCTTTGCTTTCTTTCCACACAGGTAATTATCTGACATATCTATGAAGGCAAGAGGGTAACATCAGGTCATGCTGCCCTTGCGTGTTAACTGTTTGCTAATTAAAATCATATCCCCTTAAAACCTTACCAGATGTTAAGAGCGGAAACATTGACTACAGAGTTTTTTCTTTCTGTATATTTAGGAATATTTATTTGCTCTCTATGAAAGCTATTCTTCAGGCCATTATAATAAGCCCACAAGGCATATATTACCTCTAGAGATTAGATAGGAAAATTAAGAAATTATATTTTATATTTAAAAGAGATGCTATAATCATCAGTGTCATATCCAAAACTTTAAGTTAGAAAAAATATCTGGTATGGCTGTCTCTTTATATCAGAAAAAAACATATAGATTCTGCTTATTTATTTATAATTTTTAAAAAGTAATGGCTATCATTTATTGAGCACATACAATATGCTAGACATTGGTCTAAGCACCTTACTTATTCTCTCTCTCTTTTTTTATTGTTGAGGAAGATTAGCCCTGAGCAAACATCTGTGCCAATCTTCCTCCACTTTATATATGGGTCACTGCTACAGCCTGGCTGATGAGTGACATAGGTCTGTGTCTGGGATCCGAACCCATGAGCCTGGGCTGCTCGCTGAAGTGGGGTGCACCAAACTTAACTACTACTCTATAGGCCAGCACCTTATTCTCTTTTAATGCTTACTCAAAGCCTATGAGATAGGTGCTATTATATTCTGTTATAGAAATGAGGAAATAGCGACACACTAGGTGAGAAAATTCTAGAGGAAATTCTGAAAATTGCCAAATTTAAATTGTTTTTTGAGTATCCATGCTTATATATGTGAATTGATCTCATTTTATAGCTGATGAAGATATGGATATGAAAACATTGATAGGAATTGTGAAGATGCTTAAAGGTGAGAAAAAGTTACCATGCAAAATTGAAAAAGTGATATCTGCTTTCCATATTTTTTGCATTTATTTTTATTTTTCCTTTTATTCTATTAATTTAGTTTTTTAAAATTGGTTATTTTTACCATTATGAAAGATGGTTAAAAATTAAAAAGTATACAAAGGCTAAAAATAAAATGAAACAATTCCTCATTCCATCTTTTCCCACCCCCCATCATACTCCCCTTGTCAAAACTACTTTTATTTATTTATTTAAAATTTTATTGAGGTCATAATAGTTTATAACATTGTGAAATTTCAGTTGTACATTATTTTTGATCAGTCACCATATAAATGTCCCCCTTTACCCCTTATACCCACCCTCCAACTGCTATCCCCTCTAGTATCCACTAATCTGTTCTCTTTCTCCAAGCGTTAGTTTATCTTCCACATAGGGAGGGAAATCGTACAGTTTATCTTTCTCTGTCTGGCTTTTTTCACTTAACATAGTACCCTCAAAGTCCATCCATGTTGTTGCAAATGGGACAATTTTGTCTTTTTTATGGCTGAGTAGTATTCCGTTGTGTATATATACCACATTTTCTTTATCCAATCATCAGTCACTGTGCACTTGGGTTGCTTACACCTATTGGCTATTGTGAATAATGCTGCGATGAACATAGAGGTGCATAAGTCTCTTCGAATTGTTGATTTCAAGTTCTTTGAATAAATACCAAGTAGTGGGATAACTGGATCATATGCTATTTCTATTTTTTATTTTTTGAGAAATCTCCGTACTTTTTTCCGTAATGGCTGCACCAGTTTGCATTCTCACTAGCAGTGAATGAGGGTTACCTATTCTCCACATCCTCTCCAACATTTATGTTTTGTCTTGGTGGTTGTAGCCATGCTAATGGGTGTAAGGTGATATCTTAGTGTAGTTTTGACTTGCATTTCCCTGATGATTAGTGATGTTGAACATCTTTTCATGTGCCTATTTGACCATCTGTATAGGTTCTTTGGAAAAATGTCTGTTCATATCCTCTGCCCATTATTTGATCAGGTTGTTTGTTTTTTTTTGTTGTAGTTGTTGTTTGAGTTCTCTATGTATTTTGGAGATTAACTTAATCCCTTTTTGGATGTATGATTTGCAAATATTTTCTCCCAGTTGGTGGGTCATCTTTTCCTTTTGTTCCTGGTTTCCTTTGCTTTGCAGAAGCTCTTTAGTCTCATGAATTCCCACTTGCTTATTTTTTTTCATTTGTTTCCCTTGTCCAGATAGACATGGTATTCAAAAAGATCCTGCTAAGACCAGTGTCAAAGAGTGTACTGCCTATATTTTCCTCTACGAATTTTATAGTTTCAGGTCTTACATTCAAGTCTTTGATCCATTTTGAATTAATTTTTGTGTCTTGTGAAAGATAATGGTATACTTTCGTTCTTTTGCATGTGGCTGTCCAGTTTTCCCAGCACCATTTATTGAAGAGACTTTCCTTTCTCCGTTGTATGTTCCTAGCTCCTTTGTCAAAGATTAGCTGTCGATAGATGTGTAGTTTTATTTCTGGACTTTCAATTATGTTCCACTGATCTGTGTGTCTGTTTTTATACCAGTACCATGCTGTTTTGATTACTATAGCTTTGTGGTGTATTTTGAATTCAGGGATTTTGATGCCTCCAGCTTTGTTCTTATTTTCTTTGGATTGCTTTAGCTATTTGCTGTCTTTTGTAGCCCCATGTGAATTTTAGGATTCTTTGTTATATTTCCATGAAGAATGTCATTGGGATTATCATTGGGATTGCTTTGAATCTATAGATTGCTTTAGGTAGTATGGAGATTTTAACTGTACTTATTCTACCAATCCATGTGTGTGGAATATCTTTCTGTTTCTTGGAATGTCTAGGAATAACCTAGACATTTCATTCTTTTTGTTGTGATTGTGAATGGAATTGTATTCTTGATTTCTCTTTCTGTTAGTTTGTTATTAGAGTATAGAAATGAAACTGATTTTTGTAAGTTGATTTTGTACCCTGCAACTTTGCAATAGTTGTTGATTATTTCTAATAGTTTTCCAGTGGGCTCTTCAGGGTTTTCTATATATAAAATCATGTCATCTGCAAACAGTGAGAGTTTCACTTCTTCATTGCCTATTTGGATTCATTTTATTTCTTTTTCTTGCCTAATTGCTCTGACCAAAACCTCCAGTACTCTGTTGAATAGGAATGGTGAGAGTGGGCACCCTTGTCTTGCTCCTGTTCTCAGAGAGATGGCTTTCGGTTTTTCACTGTCAGGTATGATGTTGGCTGTGGGTTTGTCATATATGGCATTTATTATGTTGAGGTACTTTCCTTCTATACCTGTTTTATTCAGAATTTTTATCATAAATGGATATTGGATCTTGTCAAGTGTTTTCTCCATGTCTATTGAGATGATCATGTGGTTTTTATTCCTCATTTTGTTAATGTGGTGTATCACATCAATTGATTTGCGGATGTTAAATCATGCCTGCATCCCTGGTGTAAAATGTCACTTGATTATGGTGTGTGATCCTTTTAATGTGTTGCTGACGTTGGTTTGCCAATATTTTATTGAGGATTTTTGCATCTATGTTCATCAGTGATATTTGCCTATACTTTTCCTTTTTTATGTTGTCCTGTCTGGCTTTGGGATCAGGGTGACATTGGCCTCGTAAAATGTGTTAGGAAGTGTTCTGTCTTCTTCAACTTTTTGGACTAGTTTGAGAAGGATAGGTATTAAATCTTCTTTTAATGTTTGTTTGAATTCTCCAGAGAAGCCATCTGGTCCTGGACTTTCATTTTTTGGGAGGTTTTTTATTGCTGTTTCAATTTCTTTACTTGTGATTGGTCTATTCAGATTCTCTATTTCTTCTTGATTCAGTTTTGGGAGGTTGTATGAGTCTAAGAATTTATCCATTTCTTCTAGATTGTCCAATTTCTTGGCATATAGTTTTTCATAGTATTCTCTTATAATCCTTCATATTTCTGTGGTATCTGTTGTAATTCCTCCTCTTTCATTTCTAATTTTATTTGTTTGAGCCTCTTGTCTTTTTTCCTTGCTGAGTCTGGCTAAGGGCTTATCAATTTTGTTTGTCTTCTCAAAGAACCAGCTCTTAGTTTCATTGATCCTTTCCACTGTTTTTTTTTTTTTATTTCAATTTCATTTATTTCTGCTCTAATTTTTATTATTTCTCTCCTTCTGCTGACTTTGGACTTTGTTCTTCTTTTTATAATTCTGTTAGGTGTAGTTTAAGATTGCTTATTTGAGGTTTTTCTTGTTTGTTAAGGTGGGCCTGTATTGCTGTGTATTTGCCTCTTAGGACTGCTTTTGCTGCATCCCATAAGAGTTGGTATGATATATTTTCATTCTCATTTGTCTCTAGATATTTTTTGATTTCTCCTTTAATTTCTTCAATGATCCCTTGTTTGTTCAGTAGCATGTTGTTTAGTCCCCACATGTTTGTCACTTTCCCACCTTTTTGCTTGTAGTTGATTTCTAGTTTCATAGCATTATGGTCTGAAAAGATGCTTGATATGATTTCAGTCTTCTTGAATTTATTGAAGATTGCCCTGTTTCCCAACATATGGTCTATCCTTGAGAATGTTCCCTGTGCACTTGAGAAGAATGTGTATTCTGCTGTTTTTGGATGGAGTGTTCTATATTTATCTATTAAGTCCATCTGGTCTAGTTTTTCATTTAATTCCACTATTTTCTTCTTGACTTTCTGTCAGGATAATCTGTCCATTGATATAACTGGGGTGTTAAGGTTCCCTAGTATTATTGTCTTGTTGTTAACATCTCCTTTTAGGTTTGTTAATAGTTGCTTTATGTACTTTGATGCTCCTGCATTGAGTACATATATATTTATAAGTGTTATGTCTTCTTGGTGGAGTGTCCCTTTTATCATTGTATACTGCCCGTCTTTGTCTCTCATTGCCTTCTTTATCTTGAAGTCTGCTTTGTCTGAGATAAGTATGGCAACACCTGCTTTCTTTTGTTTTCCATTAGCTTGGAGTATCATCTTCCATCCCTTCACTCTGAGCCTGTGTTTGCCTTTAGAGCCAAGATGTGTTTCCTGGAGACAACATATTGTTGGGTCTAGTTTTTTTTGTTTGTTTTTTGTTTGTTTGTTTTTGGTGAGGAATATTGGCCCTGAGCAAACATCTGTTGCCAGTCTTCCTCTTTTTGCTTGAGGAAGATTGTCGCTGAGCTGACATGTGTTCCAGTCTTCGTCCATTTTGTATGTGCGATGCTGCCACAGCATGGTTTGATGAGCAGTGTGTAGGTCCACACCCAAGATCCAAACCCATGAATCCCAGGCCTGCAAAGCAGAGTACACGAACTTAACCAGTACACCACTGGGCCAGCCCCAAGTTGGGTCTTCTGTTTTATTCTATCCTGCTGCTCTGTTTCTTTTGATTGGAGAATTCATTCCATTTACATTTAGGGTGATTATTGATATATGAAGGCTTAAAGCTGCCATTTTGTTGCTTGGTTTCCAGTTGTTCTGTATTTCCCTTGTTTCTCCTCCCATGTTCTTCAGACTACCCATTCAATTTGGTAGTTCTCTATGATAGTTTTCTCAGTTTTCTCTTTATTTATCATTTGTGTCTCTGTTATGATTATTTGTTTAGTGGTTGCCATGAAGTTTGTATAAAAAATTTTGTAGAGAGATAGTCCGTAGCCTCTTATTCCCTTAGTCTAAGCCAATTCCATCCCTTTCCTCTTCCCCTTGTAAGTTATTATTGTCACAACTTATTCCCTCTTGTGTTGTGGGTTTGTGGTTAAAACAACAAGATTATAGTTATTTTTTATGTTTTCCTTCCCTTTATCTTTAATGTTATGATTAAGTGTTTGCTAACCTCTTCTGATAGAGAGCTGAATTTTTCTGATTTTTGTCTGCCTATTTATCTCCTTGCTCAAGGCTTTGTAAACCCTTTCTTTTTTTTCAGGTATGAGGATCTTCTTGATCATTTCTTGTAGAGGGTGTCTTGTGGTGGTGAACTTCCT